GCACCCGGGACATAACATGCTAATAGGTGTATATCTTAAGAATGGGCCCAGAAGAAAAGTTCCAGCATTAGAAAACAAAGCAAATGTCAATAGGTGCCTCCTTGGTGATTGATGTAAGAGACAACAGTTGAATTGTCAGAATGGATCATGACCAACTAGCCCTGTACTAAGGTAAAAAATGACCCAAAGTGCCACAATTGGCAAGTAGCTCCAGAAAATTTATATGTAGAGCACACTAAATCAAATCCCAAAGACCTGCAAACTCCTGGAAATCCATACCCCCCCAACCCATCAGAGAAGCATCTGTAAAAAGATGCAACTAGAAAAGGGGAGGTGGAAGAGGAACATCAGCCATGGTGTTGTCCCAGTCAAACCGCCAAGCTAGCTCGATATGTAGTGAGGGAGAGAGGAGGATAAAGGAGTCCAGGGGGATCTAGAACAAAATTCCATTGATTGTGCAACACCCACTGAAGAACTCCCACATGAGCATGACCCAAGGGAATGAGGACTTTCTTGGAGGCCTAAGTCCCCAAAAAAGATAGAACTTCGTGAACAGTGAGAGAAGGTGAGGATTGAGGGTCAAATGAAGATGGGAAAATTGAGCCTGGTAAAACTCAAAAGGCAACATACCTGAGATACCATGAGGAGGAAGAAATGGGAGTGGCAACAGATGTAATCCTGAGATTGCATGGCAAAGGAAGGAGGTGGAAACAGTATATCCAGATCATCATCATCCTGACCAGGTTCACCACGAAATGGTATGTCTGGTCTTTTGTCAGGAAACTCAGCTGCCGCATGATGGACTCCAACGTATGGTGAACTAAGACCAAAACCTCCTCAGCAGAAAGAGTTGAGCCCAAAGCCACAGAAACTGCAGGTTGTGTTCATTGGCTGGAGTAAAAACGGTAGTTGTTGTATTGTGAAATTGTGAATTCATAATTCAGAAATTTGAGTGGAAAATTTCAAATCAATCCACAAGTTATCAAGAAAAGGTAGAGAAACAAATTTAGGTAAACACAAGCAAAAACAAGAGACATCTGCACACTAGTATTTCATATCAAGAAATGAAGATTAGACTCTACAGTATAAAGGGAGTCAGCTGTGTCACACTCCTATTGATGGAGGGTTGTTGCATTTTTATTTGCATGCTATAGTATAGCTGTACTACATATAAACATGTGGGGATAGGTAGGATATCAAGCCTAGTGGTGAGCAAAAATTGCACATATAGAGGGCAGGACTGAATGAGAAAAGCTATTATGTGAAAAGAGGTAAGGTATCATACTGGAAATCTTTGTTCTTGAGGATACATAGAAAGAAAAAAAAAAAAATTCAGCCTTTCACTAATGTATGCTATACCAAGAAAAAACTTAAGAAATATCACAAAGGCATCAAGTTGAAATGTTGCTTACAAAACGAAATGATGAATGTAAAGTCCACTCTGTTAAGAGAATTTTGTTTAGTGTCAAAACACAAGTATAAGAGAGAGTCCACTCTAGTAGAGGAAGATAGCAGCGATGTAATGAAATAAGAGTAAAAACAGGGACAAACACAGTATAGAGCTCTAAACTGTAAAAAATTAATGTGAACAGAGAACTGAAACCAAAGGCTTCTAAAAAACTCTCATGCCATGAGCAAAGATAGTCATTTTAATGGAAACTCTATAGGTTGTGCCAAAAGCCACTAAGATAAACAATTTTATTCATATATGGAAGAAATGTTTTCATTTTATCAAGAGCCATGAAGATCCAATTTGCTAACTGGATAAAACACAATTTCACATGAAAGGTAAGCCTATACTTAAAACCCAATTTGTGATAAATGCACCCATGTTTGTCTGACTATGAAAATATCATTAATAGCATTTTAAACATCTTTTCTTAATCAAACATATATTGAGTAGAAATCAACTTCTAAATTGAAAATTAGCTGCACTGGTGTTAATTACAGCACTTTACAAGAACAAAGAATAAAAACTTATACTTTTGGTCATCTGTTTTTTGTTTTGTTTTTTGTCTAGGCATGCATTTTGATCAAAAGAAATTTGTATGTTGCCAGCTCCTCAAGTGTTACATCAAGTAGCGAGATTGGTTTGGCTGGCATAACTGACATTTCTAACTTTGAAGATAAGGAAAATTTACACTTGGAAGGGTTAGGCATCCAAGATGTGCTCAGTATGGTTCAGAAGGTACTGGTCCTTATAAAGAGGAAATCAAAGCATTTCTTGGTGTGGTTGATAAGTCCCAAACTTTCAGCTGAGTACATGCTCATGCAATTAAAGGTAGACTACTCACATGAGTACAAACTTCAATCAATTTCTGAAATTAAAAAGAAATATGTGACCCAACTGTTTATTAAAAAAAAAAAATGCATGTGTGTGTTTGTTTTAGACCAAAGCCACACTGGGTTATCTGCTGTGTCCACCACAGGGAACTGAACCTCAGATTTTAGTACTGTTAGTCTATAGACTTACTGTTAATGCTTGGAGATGGCTTGAATGCATAATGAAGAAAAACTTTAATGTCAATTTAACATAACAGCAAATGTACAACGTTTCGACAATGTTTTGTCATCATCAGGTACCAGAAAGACTTACTGTTGTCCCACCTGGGGACAATGGCATTGCACAGCAAGGTGAAAATATTATAAACATTGTAGGATAGGATGGAGAAGTATTTGCCAGAGATATAGTGCATAATGAAACTAGGCCCAGTTATAAGGAAACAAACTTTAAAGTGTGCTCTGATAGCATATTACTTTTAAATGAAGCTTGTGCTAGTAATAACACCATTAATATCAAGGGCAAGACATTAAGATGTGGTAAGATATACAAGGATGCTCTCCTTGAATATTTCATAGAGCTGTTTGGAAACTATGGCAGTTCAGAGGCAGTCATTTGGTAGAAAGAACATCCAACTAACACTGATGGACCAACAGTCTAATAAGTTCAATCAAATGTCTCATTGCTTCTTATAGTGCATAAAACAACTACATGGTAAACTTCCTACAAGAGATTTAATGTACATTTTATTTATTTTGTCAGTACAATTTGTCTCTAATATTGGATTCTTGTAGTTAATAAAGCCAATGTACATTTTAGTACTAAACATAATTTATGTTTTTTGCTTCCATTAGCAAAAATAAGCATGTGTTTAACTAAAAACAACATATAATGTCTTGTTACATTCAAATATACTCTAATCTTCATTTACTTCTCCACCTGGTCAGGGATATTGCTCTGAAAAAGTGATGACCACTTAGCAGAGGTCCTATGTTTGGAAGGCAATATCTTCATGAGCAAAAGGTGCATCTGAACTTTTCTTAATGCATTCTTCATATCTTATACTCAGCTACAATTGACAAATATCAGAGACACAAATATCATAATAAATCAACTTCTAAAAATTGTTCAAAATAAATCTGCTGTTCAAATTAAATTATTCTGCACATCTAAATTAAATGTTCTAATACACATTTAGAAATAAATGTATTATAATTGTTCAAGAATGACTACATGATATACTAGATAAATCAGATCTTATTCAAATAGGTAGCCATTGTTCCAAGATCTCTAAAATGATCAGAGTAACAGAAATAAAACTTACAATCTGAGTCTCTGGGTCAAGCACTTCTCAACAAAAATATCATTTTCCTCATCCTCATCCCACGGTCTCCAAAGGTAATTATAAAAAAACCTGTTTTTTTATATATAACACAATGATTCAAGGAAGTAACAAGAATATGTGGTATACTATTAAATATAATATTTGTAGAAATTTAAAATGTAACCAAAATATCAAGAATTACAGGACGTCATGTAAACCTTTAGATAAAACATCAATGGTTTAGAATCTCCATTAACATTTGGTCCTAAAAATAACAATCTAATATTCTGTTTATCGTAAAAAGGGAAATACTTCTTGATACGGGTCATTAAAAAGTACACCATGTTAAAAATAATTTATTATCTTTAGCAATTGTTGTTAACAACTGTAATTATTTTAGCAGAAAGCTACACAATTGTATACATGCATTCTGTCCACTGCATACAATTAAGCCCCTATTTTTACTGTTTTAAAACCATTGATTTACCACTGACCCTTCAGAGAACATTATTTATAGCAGTTATAATAATAATTAAGAAATTGTATGATACCATAAGAAGAAAAAAAATTGACAGAATGTTTAAAAAACTGTTTTACTAAAGATAAAATTTCCAATAAAGTCTAAATAATCCTTTACTGATAAAATCCATAAGAATAAAGGTGTTTCATTATGAAACAATTAAAACTATTAAAATTAGCTATATTCTCTCAAACTACAAGTGCTGAGATAGAAGTACCTGATCACACAGATTTCAGCATTTTCATAAAAAGGGGTACGTAATTAACTCTTAAACAAAGCCACAAAGATTAAAAAAAAAAGTAAACTACTATGCCATGTAAAATGAAGCTTTCTGGCATTTAGAGCTCAAAGAGATGTATATTTCAACCTCAGGTTAAAATTAACAGAATATAAGCAGTCCTTTCTCTTACCTAACATGTTCTATAGCAAGAGCAGTGTTTAGATATTGTTCTTCTTCATCTCTTTCACTAACAGGATAAAGCTCAATCAGTGGAACACTTAATTCTTCTTTCAACATAGTTTCAACTTTACTTTTCAAGTCAGGTTTTTCTTCAGATTTGACTTCCGAAACTATTCTCAATACTTTTACATCAGCTTCTAGTTTCTGCATACTTACATCCTTAACCTACAGAACACAAACTTTGTTCTATGACATAAATAAAATACAAAAACACAGAGGTTACAGTCTGTTGACATTAAAATATGTTGGAATTTTAATCAATCAAAAAAAAGAAAGATAGGAAATCATAACTATTACCTCATGTTTTAAAAATGAAAACCAAGAGGCTTTAAAAAAAGTGAAGAATCATGCCTAAATGTCAAATGTTAACGACAAATTGTAGAAACCAAGGCTTATTTTTAAAATGTAGAGCAGCATAAGTAATAATTATTATCACAACATTCTAAATGAAAAATGCTCAATTGTAGAATCGAATTTTTTTTTTTTCTCGGCAGAATCCGAGATATTCTTTAATAAATGTCTCCACAATTTTAATTAATTACTGTCATAGACATTTAAAACAACATTTTGAATAAAAAATGTTCAGTTGTTGAATCAAATCGATTGTTTTTTCTTGGCAGAATCTGAGATATTCTTTAATAAATGTCTTCACAATTTTAGTTAATTACAGTTATAAACATTTCTAAATCTTTAATAATATTAAAAGTTAATCTGGCAATTCTAACAATAAGTAATGAAAATTATCCTTTTGATAGCTGAAGCTAGTTTATATGGTTGAACAGCATAAAATAATTAGTTATTAAGCTCCCACATAAAGTTATTTCTGTTAACTTTTCCACTATCATCTCTGGCTGTTGAATAATGATAATATACTGACAAAAATCATGTCAATTCATGTTAATTTACACTAAATTATATTGTATGACCAAGTGAAAGTGCACTAAATAATTTTATTCTTACACAAAATTCAATATGATAAGTTTGATATTTAATGCATAAGGTTTATTATTTTATCTTGTAGTAACTCCAAAACAATAGGTTCAGGAAATGTTATAGCAGTCAACAGTAAAGGTTTTAAAGTGTTGTTTGATTTGAATCTTTACTGTTTAAGCTGCTTTTTGCCCAAATGTTCTATTAATGTTTTGTGCAATTCCTTGCAATCCCTATTATGAACCACTATCATGGTTAATGATATTGAACAGACCACAATGAAAATTATTCAGTTATACTAGTACTACGTAGGATACAAATGACTGTTTTTATCCAGAAGTAAATCTAAGTCAAGTGAGACTGAAAGAACAGAATGAATGGTTGGAATTGTGATTACGGAAAGATTGACAATTATTTTACCTAATACATGGATAAAATGTCAGGAAATTATTATTTTTGTCTCA